TTCAAAGAGTGGGAAGTAAGACATGACATTGACCTGAGCGTGAACAATGTAGGTAGAATGAAACTATAACAGGGTTCAAAGAGTGGGAAGTAAGACATGACATTGACCTGAGCGTGAACAATGTAGGTAGAATGAAATTGTTTTTGGATATGTAGAATGAAAACAAAAATGACACCATCTTGAACCCAATAATGAAAGGTAAGACATGGTCATTTAAAACAAAATCTCTCATTCAAATCTCAGTCAATATCATCTTTGCACTACTGTAGAAAGTAGAACATCACAATTTCCCAGCAAGTCAGAAATGACCTTCAGTTGACAAATGGACTGTATTGTGAATCACTCCGATTACCTTCAAGATCTTGTCAGACTTCTAGTCTATCTTTTTTTTCTCTCTCTTTCCATTTGTTTGAGTTTGTGACAACTGATGCACTCACAGTAACACAGGTCACTCCCTTTTCATGCCAACAGGGTATGCCGTATAATCTAGACGAAGACAACCCTGCTGAGGATGGTTTGAAGATGATTAAGATGGGGGAACCCGTCGCATTAGGAAATTGTCCTTCGGCAAGCACTGCTGCGTGAGTCCTTTGTCACAGAAATAGCTTTTTAGGCCACAGATGTGTATGAAAAAGAAATGATAATTTCCCATTAAAAAAAAAAATCAGAAAATGTTGTTACCGTCTCGACGATAGCACTGTTACTAGCGAGTATACTTTGAAACACCATAAAATCACATTTGAAGGATGATGAAATGGCATTTGTAGAAATCTTTTCAATTTGCTTTAACTGACTTTCATTTTTATATTATAAGTTTCCATGGAAGGCCATTGCGCCCTCAAGACAACATTTAAGATATTTTTTTCTTTCTTTTTTTTCCAACAGGCTTTTTAGCCCAGACAACAATGTGGAGAACACTCAACAGTATGAAGAGACTGCTGATATTGATATCATTGATAGCGGCAAGGACTTGTCGTGGTGGCAACGCATTTGGCTTTTCTACGACTCGCCACTCATCACATTCAGGCACCATGTTGTAAGGAATAGCTCCATATTTACTTTTTGTGCACACTTTCAACCAGAGCTTACAATGCATCTTTCCGGCCTTTGTTCTGTCTTCGTTCTGGAGCCCTGAATGATTTTCTTGGCTGTAGATATATGCTGTGCTGTGAATCTATATATTATTCACTATAATTTGCAGGTTGGACTGTTCTGCTGTTAGGTCATTGTAACTTTTTGAATGAACTTGTCTTTGTTGGAAATGGTGAAGGCCTAAAAGCCTGTTTATTCCTCTTTCTGTTGTCAGGTCTCGTTCGTCTGCTTCTTGGGGCTCTTCAGCTACATTATCTTGGCAAACTTCACCGAGCATGTCTCACCGGCCGAGATTGTTCTCTATGTGTGGGTCGGGTCGTTAGCAGCTGAAGAATTGAGACAGGTATGAACAAGTTATGTTTGGTTCTGGTCGTCCCAATAAACTACACAGTGGACCTGTATGTGAAGACCCCCCCCTCACTGTAACAACACACTGTTATGAGTGCTGTCCTGAATAGGTATATTGGAATTTTACCACAGTGATGTGCAGTTTGTATGCACGGCTCCTTTATCCTTGGTCTGATTTTTAAGAATAGCTCTCGTGTTTATCAGTTTGCCACCAGATTTAGTCAGGTGATGATGTCTTTTTCATCCCTCTTTCTCTCCATCCGACTGCCAGATCGCCCAAGAGGAGTCCAACAACTGGCGGATCCGCTTCATGTCTTGGATCGCCCAGTACTGGAATCTCGTGGACTCCTCGGCCCTGATCCTATTTGCCGTGGGCATGGCCCTGCGCTTCCAGACGGCCACCCTAGACGTGGCTCGCATCATCCTGGCACTGGACCTGCTCATCTTCTACATCCGGCTGCTGCAGATTTTCTCCATCCACAAGAACTTGGGGCCCAAGCTGATTATGATCCAGAGAATGGTGAGTCCACACGAGAGACTGATCAGATTAGACACTGTATCTGCGGTGACACCATACTCATACGTACACTCTTCAGCTTGATGCACATAGGCATTTGGCAAGTCACGACACTCTATTGGTCAAAGAGG